AGATAATTTGTGGGTGCATCTCATGCCCCCTGCTCTGCATCAGCCCAGCGGCTGCAGGACTGCTCAGGCCGGTGTTGTCTCACTCCTGGCTAAATCTGCAGCCCGCTCCCAGCTCCAGAGCAGCTCCTAACCCCCTGCCACAGAGCAGAGGGGCTCTGGGGCATGCCAAGGACATGCCCAGCTCTCTCTGATATTGAAAAACAGCAGCACGCACACCCAGACCTTGCAAACCAGTGCTGCCCCAGGCAGCTTCCACCCACCTCACCCCCACCAGATCCCGCGCTATAGGCTGCCACCACCCATTTCCTCCTGCTTTTACAGCCAGGTCTGGGCCCTAATAGGCTCCTGTGACCAGCTGCAGGTGCACCCTTTAACCCTTTCCTGACTGCTGCCATGCCTCTTCAACAGGGACCCAGATGGGCATTAAATCCCGCAGCTCTTCTCTCATCCCTGCTGCTGACATCGCAGATGCCAGGACGCAGCCCCTGAGGGTTTCTGGAGAGGCTTCCCCCATTGCAGGGCATCTCTGGTGCACCAGCGCACAGCCCAGCCCTCTGGGATGCTCGGTCCCTTCACCCACTGCTGCAGGGATGGTGCCTGGGATCGGGTCTGGCAGCACGCGCTCCCTCCCCAGGGGGCTAAGCAGGGCCCACAGCGCTGGCTGTCAGACACCCTTGGCAGCCCTGGGCTGTGTGTATGTGTGTGTAGGGGTGGGCTGTTAGGGTTCAGGACAGCTGCATCTGGACTTGGCAGGATGTGCACATCAGCTCAGCTCAGCGAGAGGCGGCAGCCAGCGTGCCCTGCCTCCTGGCCCCTCTCTCCTCTCCCCCACAAAGCTCTGTCTGACGAGCATCCGGATCAATTATTTATGCTTATAAACAACCGATCGATAGACGAGCCAGACAGCCCCACTCCAGGCTGCCCCGCGCCCCATCCCCATCCTGCTCCCTCTGCCCCCGCCACAGCGCTGCCCACCAGCGCCTCTCCCCAGCTTTCACGTGGGCCACGGGACCATCCCTGGGTCTCCGGCCACCGCCGGCTGAACCCTCCTGACGCCCACGTCTCCTCGTGCTCCTGCACCGGGGCTCAGCAGAGGGGCAGGGAGCGCGTCCGGGCGGTGCGAGGGGATTTGTCACGGCCCGTGCGGTGGGGCTGGCGGAGGGGCCTGCAGATGCCCCTGCAATCAGCCCGAAAGCGCAGCTTCCCTTTCTATCTGGACTATCTAGAAACCTTAACTGAGCAGGAGATGAATAACGCGGGGGACAGCGCGCTCAGGAGGGATAACGTTTCTTTCCACAGGCAGAAGCAGTTTCAGGTAGCGCTGTCACTTGAGCAGCCATCCCACCCCGGTAAGGGGAGACCGCGGCGGGAGGTAGCTGCGTGCCGGCAGGCTGCCGAGGGACACGCGCCCGGGCCGGCGGGGCCTGGACCACGACAGAGTCAGTAGAAATCTGCCTGTTGTCTGCGGGGGCCTTTCAGCATCGCCGCTGAGTCCCGGGGCTGCGGCGTGCTGCGCTGCTCGCTCTCTCTGCACGTCGCCCGTCCCTCTGCCTGCGTCTGGAGCTCGTCCTGGGGCAGGGGAGAAAAGGGCTGCTGAAGGTGCTACAGCTAATGGCTGCACAGAGGAATTGAGATCTCCTAGTGCAGACAGCGCAAGGCAGAGATGGGGTTCAATGGTCATGTCCTCCAGCTCCGCATCACCAGGGACTTCCCGTGCCCCATCCCCACACGTGAGCTCAGCGGCCGCAGGGGACGTGGCCATTTCTGTGCCACGTGCTGCAGCCAAAATGAACCTGTGACCTCCCGGCCCATCCTGCAGCATCCAGCCACCCCTTGAGCCTTTCTCAATGCTCAATGGGGGGAGCTCCCGAGGCTGAGCTGTTGCAGCAAGGCCTTGCTAGGTACAGGCAGCAGCACTTCTCCTGCTGCGCTGGTGCTTGGCACCTGCTGGCCATCGACCCCGGGCAGGGCACGAGCGCGCTCGGCTCCAACGAGGAGAGCGGGGCATTCCTGCGCCAGCTGCACGCATGCAACGGTGCACCTGGAGCGAAGATCTCCAGGCTCGTTCACAATATCGTCTTCCCTCTTAGCTCTCATTGAAGGAATTAGAAGAAACCCCGAGTCCCCCGCAGCTGGAAAGCACAAAGGACCGAGAAGCCAGCAAAGTCATTCAATGCCCCTGGGAGCTGGTGCGTGAATCCCTCTGCTCAGAGGAAACCAGAATTCAATTTTAAGCATTTCAACCCTAACAATGGCTCAAGGGCTTCTTGTTCCCAAAGCAGCCGCTTCTCCGTCTGCAGAGAGGGCCACGCTAATCCAGCTAAGGCGAGCGCAGCTCCGGCATCCCGGAGAGACCGAGAGGGACTGGCAAACCGCTCCCGCTCTCCTGGCTGCATTCATCCGAGTACGAGGCGCACGCGCCATCGGAGTCAGATTTATCCGAACATCGGGTCACGCCAGGCATCCGGCACTTTCCTCCAGCTATGGGGAGGACATGCATCCGAAGCACCTTCTGTGCACGATGCCTTCTCCATCCACTTCACTCCAAAACACTCCCAAGGCCGAACCAGGACCTCCCGCTGCTTCATTTCCAACTCGGGCATCAAAAACTGCCAGACACTATTAGCTTCTGATCAATGCAGATGCACGTCTCACCCATCCCGTGACCACCGCGGTGCGTGAATCCCCTGACAGGAGCGTGGGCAGAGGATGATATCCAGCCCTGGATGCAGGGTGACAGCTGCTGCCCTCCATGCCCAAAGGAAGAATAATCCTTATCCGCTCTCGGGCAGGAATATGTTGGTTTTTTCCCCACCCTTTTCTTCCAAAAACCTCTCCTAGCCCAACAGAGCTCAGGAACGTGTCCTTTTCTCCTCCCTCATGTCCTTATTTATTGCTTTAAAAAGCACTGGGCTGCGATGTGCAGTTTGCCTTCAGCTTGTGCTCCCCTGACAGAGAACCACAGCGGTCAGGGGTGGCAGGAAACTCCCAGACCTTAGTTTAACACTGGTGGGAAGTGACTGGGCTGTTGGTCAGCACCGCTCAGGCCCCCCGTGCTGCACATGCGCGTGCAGAAGGAGGCAGGGACGGGGCAGGGACGGCTCTGGCTGGGCAGGGTGCAGGTCCATGGCCAGGGCGGCATGGCACAGCCACGCTTGTGAGGGTAAAGAAAGCAGTGCATCTAGAGAAGCAAAGCCATGGGCTTTGAAGGGCAGGGCAGGAGACAAAGACATTCAAGGCCAACACACCAGGAGGTGCCGAGGCTGCCAGGAGACTCCTCAAGCCCAATGCAAATGAATAAGCTACCTGGAAAAGCTGCCTTCAAGCCCCAGAGCAAAGCAAAGGAGGGGCTGCAAGAGGTAGCAGCCACACCTGCAAGCCCCTTCACCCCACTTGGGCAGTGGGAAGGACTTTGAAGAGAGCGTGGCTGCCATCTGTGTCTGTGTTAAGGTCTCTTTCGCTGTCAGGATGGTTATAGGGTGTGTGCGACTCAGAGCTGGTGTGTACAGATGGGAAAACTGAGGCACTGGGACCACATGCTAAGCCAAGTGGCAGAGCTGGAAACACAAGGCAGGACTCCGGGTCTGCAGTACCGTGACTCATCCCAACCCCACAACACACAGACCAAACTCGCACAAAAAATCCCTCTGAGCTCCCGGATCCACGCGCCCTCTCTGCTCGACGGCACGGATCAGGCATATGCCAAACCTCCCTCCTTCCACGGAGCCATTAAGTCACTTAAGAAGCGGCCTTAAATATTAATGAAATTAACACAAGCTGAACTTTATCGCTGAGCCTCCCTCCGGCAATAAAGTGTTTGCAATAAAGTGTTCGCTGGGATCTCATTCATGCAAATTGTCTCCATGCCCAGCGTTCGGCATGTGCCAGGCAGGCCATGCTTTGCTCGCTCCTACTCCAGGAAATCCCGAGGCCAAGCCAAGAGACTTGCAGTGGGAATCATGAGCAAAGGCAGAATTTGTCCCACTGGCACCATCGCCGTTCTCAATTATCTCCCATCCTTGCTCCCGGCAGAAGCACTGGGATCTCTGGGGTGTCACTGCCGGGGAAGGCAGGCATCTCCACCGCCACTGCGGGATGAACCAGAGACCCGGGACCAGCTGTGTGCAAACCCCGGTGCCCCGGAAACCTTCACAGATAATTCAGTGACCCCCTTTTTATCCAAGAACAGCCAGACAAGGACAGGCCAGCTGGACAAGGAGAGCATCAGCAACCCACGCCAGCTGTGTGTGCTCCTTAAACGAAGGCTAAGATCAGGGAAGAAGGGGCCGGAGAGCCCCTGCCATCTGTGATGGGTTACAGCTGCCACGTCCCACGTCCCAGACTGCCTCTGCTGCCTGCGCAATCCACACGTGGGCAAGTAACCCCTCCCCACAGACACCACGATTATCTCCACCCACGGGAGATGGGCTGAGACGCGCCCCCGCGCCCTGCCCCGCTTTGCTCCCTGCTCTGGAAGAAATAGCCTCCGTGCAACCAGGCTGAGATGTCCTGCATCGCAGGGTGCTGCAGGGAACGCCCGACTGTGACAGCTCCCTGCTGCGCCCACCCTGCGCAGACAGCGAGGGCCCCGGGGTGCAGCCGGCCAGGCCCAGCTCAGCAAGAAGAGCTGTGTCCCCTGAGACCCCCAGCCCCGTATCCCTCCCCTGTTGTGAGCAGGCCCTTCCCCGCCCCTGGAGATTTCGGCCAGTGCTTGCAGAGCTGGTTTGCAAGGGGAAGCTGGAGGCTGTCGGGGTCCCTGGGGGCTAGACCCGTGCCCTGTGCTGCACTTGGAAACGGCCCTGTGCACCCTCAGCCGCTCATCCGCCTCCACCCTGGCAACACCACGTGAGTAGCCCCAGCCTTCCCCTGCACCCTGGGACGGGAGTAGGACCGGGCCCAGAACAAAGTCCCCAGGAGCCAGGCTCTGCCCCTTCATCAGCTGGCTTCAGCCACACTCCGAAAGCCCCCTCGCCTGCTGGGTTGCAAATGACACGGCCCTCTGCAGAGATTAAAATGTATTTAATATTCCACAGTCTGGTCTGTACATCACCTCCTGGGCACGGGTTCAAACCCCAGTACAAAAGCGGGTGGGTACCAAACCTGGCAGGTTGGATGGCGGTGGTATCAGGGCCTCAAACAGGAGGGACCCAGAGGCATTGCAAAGGGGCTCTCCTGCTCCTCCTCACTGCTGCTCCATCTCCATCCCAGCCCTCGGCCTCAGCGCTCCCATGCGGCACGCCTGCAGCGCAGGTCAGCGGTGAATGCGCCGGCTGTCTCACTTCCAAGCCCTCCCTGCACGTGCTTCTGGAGTCACCGCACCAATTCCAGATGTTGCAAGTCCTGCCCGGGGCGCTGCAGCTGGAGGGAAGAGCAGCGCTGCCTCCACAGAAGACGTGCCTGGGAGCCCTGCTCCGGGGGCAGCTCTCACTCTGGCTCCGGGAAGCAGGCTCCAGCAGCACAACCCACCCTGCACCGATGGGCGCCAGCCGGGACAGCCAAAGAGCCGAGGCCCGTGGCAGCTCCTCCACCAGGGCACAGCGTGGACCCCAAGGCCAAGGGCCTGCAGCTGCCTCTTATGACCAAGATTTGCAGCAAGGAGAAGCGGGCACAATGGGGTTTGCCGTCTCTCCCCACAGCCCCCAAGACGTGGTAGGAAACGAGGAGCCATCATTTGCCCTGGTAAGGGATCTGAGCTCACTGCAGATGCCTGGGATGCTCTGGCTTCTTCCTCTTGAATGCAAAGGACTGAGCAGGCGAACAACCTCTACTGAACCAGGCACGAAAGGCTGAACAGGAAGAAGAGATTCCCTTCCCCGAACTTCTCCTGCAAAGACTAGTGCTAATCCAGCTCCTGTGATGTGGGCTGCAGACAGCAGCTTTGAAACGAACAGCCCGATTCATGCAATCCCCAAGCAAGGGGAAACCAGCCGGTCTTTGCTTCCGAAATGGCGGGATGCTCAGGGCAGGCATTATACCTCTCCATCAGGGGCTCAGTCTGGGCTGCGGGCTTAGCTACACGCGAGGCTGGATTTTAATCTCCGGCCCCCCGGGGCAAAGACAGCACGATCCCATGGACGTGAGTGGGGTTACCCCTGCCTCAGCTGGGAGCCTGCAGGTCTCTCACCAGTCCCGTCCGCATCCTCCGAGCCAGGAGACCGAGGTGGGGAGGACGGTACCCAGGTGCGGCATCCTAAACTCCTGGCAATGACCCCTCTTGGAGACCGGGGGGAGAGATGCTTCTCACAGCCATTATTTAAGCCACTGCAATTTTCAGCAGAAAGAACGAAGCTATTTCCCACCCCCCCTCGCTTTGTGACTGTCAGCAGAGTCTATGTGACTCGAGGGCTTGATTGACCGGCATGGGGAAAACTGCAAATTTCCTGGCGCGCATCCGTGAGGCTGAGGGGGAGCGCGGAGCAGAGGGAGGCTGGCAACCGCATTCAGAGCCCATCACCGTCGCATCTGCAGCAGCCCCTCCGCGGGTGCATTACGCCAGGGGCTGGCAGGGTTTTGACCCACAACAACAAGGGGGGTTTCCGCGCATCCCAGGCCGGGCGGCTGCGTCGGTGCCCTTTGTCTGTAATCCCGGAGGCTGCTCCAGCGGAGGGTGAGCGCAGAGCCCCCGCCCGACGCGGGGGACCGAGACCAGCCGGGTGCTCACAAGGCGCTGCCATCCCGGCCCCGTGCTGCTGCAGTCCTCGTGCCACAGCGACCCTCCTGCTGCTCGCGGCTCTGCGGGACGCGGCCGGAGCATCCTGCGGCCAGGCGAAAGCGATGCCGTGGTGCATCGGGGCAACCCTCCAGAGGGACTTCCACGGAAACTATCGCGTGACCTGCCAGCAAAGGAGAAGGGCACGTTAGATAGAAGCACTGGGAGAGGAGGTGGGTGACACGTAGCTTCATCAACAGCTGCATTATTCCTCCTACCACCCAAGGGGCCTGTTGCATCTCAGAGCACCGAGCGAGCACGGGGAAGCGACGGGGCTGGGGAACCAGTCCTGAGGCAGGGGGGCTTCAGGGGTGGGTCTCCGTGATCACAGGGGCCTGGCCACAGCCCCCCGGTGCTGGTGGGATCCATGGGGGTAGCTCTGAGAACAGTCTGGAGCCTCCCCCGGTCTCCCCGCGTGCCGCGACGGGCCTCTCTCACCCCTGCACCTGCTCTGCGTGGAGAGCGATGGCCCAGGAGATGCATCTAGCTTGGAGGGGGAAACCATTTAGCAAACCTTGCCAGAGACCCATCAACCAGGCAGGTAATGGGGGAATTAGATCTCCATCCCCGCTTTTCTCTGCCGTTCTGTAAACAGTTTAAGCAAACTCTGGGAAGCAGGCTGCAGATTGTCTCTCAGCCCTTTAAACACTGAGCTATGCTGATTACTGTGGATAGTTTTATAGCCTTCAGATGTTCACACCCTATTTACCCATTACCACGTCCTTTCTTATGGATTTCACAGTAGGACGAGAGATTTCTGTCAAGGCAGCCCGCGCAGTGGTAGATTCATGTGAAATATTGCTATTTAAATTCCATCCCCAGCCTCTTGCGCATGCCAAACAAGAAGCATATTCAGCAGGAACAATTTAGCAAATCCGTTAACAATGGCAGGGAGATGAGACTGGAAGCAAAAAATATATATATATATATATATATATATATATATATATACACACACACACAGGGGACAATTTGTCCATAGCACCGAGCCCCAGTGAGCACCGGCGTTGTGCTTATTTGTCAGCACCCGGATGCTAAGGCAGCTCCAGCCCAGCCTCCAGAGAGGAAGGGTGCGAACCGAGTTGAGGCTGCGATGAGGCAGCAAGGGAGCAACCAGCCCAACTCAGCCCAGTCCAGCCCAGTATCTTGAAGGGACCCAGTACGGCGCTGCCAGGACAGACGTGCTTCCTCCTTGCTGCTCCTTGCACCTCTGAGCCTGTTGCCCTCGAGGGACAGCAACGCGCTTTCGGTGCTGCCAGCTCCTCCCATGTTATCCCAGCTCTCGGGCTGCCGCCAGGCTTGTCTTTGGGGCCCTGCCATCCTCCGCCTCTGTGAGAATCTCAGCTTTCATTAACAGAGACGATCGTAGCACTCGTGGTTGCACGGACAAGCTGGAAAACATGCTCTGAATGAAACCTGGAGGCTCAGGCTCCAGGTGGCAGATAAAAGGAGCTGGCGGCATATGCCTTTTTTAAAACTCATGATTTGGGGGGGCCTGTCTCACAGGCTTTGAGCACCGGAGGCGGGTGCTGCTTTCCTTCTGGATGGGCTGGTTACCCGCGGAGCAAGTAATTTGTGACAAAATTCTTCAGAGAAATGATTTCTCTCCCCGACGGATTATCTGTGGGCACATCACGCTTGCCTCTCATTTATTTCTTGTTTGAAATGCTCTGTCAAAGGGCTTCCCCCCAAGGATGCTCACTCTGCGGAGTGTTTGGTAATGGAAATGGTCCCACTGTTTGCCATGGCCCCCCCGCCGATCGAATACATCCAGCCCATCCTCCCGCTCCCCAGCTACCAGCCAGCAGACCTCAGACAGTGCAAACTTGTTCGTTAGGTGCAGTTGCCCGATGGGGCGTCTGATGCCCGTGTCGGCCCGTGGATGGTCTAGGAGTGCTCAGTTGTGGCAGCTGAGAAATGGGCCTATTTACGCCGGGCGCTGAGACCCATTAGTCACTTGGGAATACATCAGCCCTCAGTGTTAAGAGGCAGCGAGGGTGGTGGGAAAGCCCAGGGCAGCCTGAGGCTGTTCTCAGAGAAGGGCCAGAGACAGCTTCGTTCCCTGCCACAAGACCGGACCGGCCACGGAGGCAGCCGAGAGCCAGCAGCGCGGGTGTCACACGTGGCACAGACCCCCGGGAGACCCCAGCATGGGTCAGGCCCTCAAGCAGGCTGGGGAAAGCAAAACAGGCAAGCGGTGCCCAAGAGGGGCGGCCGCGCGCGCAGCAGGACACCTGGGGCAGAGGACCCGGCTCTCACACCCGTGGCAACTTTCTAGTGCAACCACACACAAAAACCTGATCAAGATGTCACCCCGGCCTCGCAGCGGGGTTGCATGGCGGGGGGGGGTGGGGAGCTTGGCTAAAGCATAAAGAATAATTACACTCAACTGCATGAACAATGATTACAGAATTATGCAACTGATTAACCATGACATACATGTAATTACTAATGAGTTTGATAAAATTTTAATTATACCTTGTTCTTCGGGGCATTCAGCAAGGCATGAAAATAATAATCATGTCGCTCTCTGTCACAGATGATTGCTCCAGCCAGGGGAGCCACGCCATCCCAGGCAGCCCTCGACGGCGCTGCCACGCTGTGCCGGCAGGCGGGAGCCGGGGCAGGTGCTCCAGAGAGCAGCCGGCGGGGAGGGGAAGGGAAGGGAGGGCCTCCGAAAGCCACCCCTGGATGCCTGGAGACCAGCCCCATGCAAGCCAGGGCACAGGAGGCAGCTGTGTCCTCGGGGGGGGGAAGTCCCACAGTGCCCGCGTGGCCTGGCGCAGCCGTGCAGACCTACCTTGGTGGTTTTCACTTTGTTGCCACTGCTGCAGCTCCATCCTGACAAGTCCGGCAGCACCTTACACTCTTCCCCTTCTAGACACGGCTCCATTTGGCACCACCACTTCTGAAGGACGATGGAGGCTGCCGGGAAGGGGGAGAGAGGGCCAGTGAGCAATGGGTCGGGGGGTGCACGCGGCTGGGGCACTGGGCGACAGGTGGGGAGTTGCTGGGGATTGCTGGAGCTGCTTTCCGGGCTCTGCATGCAGGAGGCAAGGCTCACAGGTTGTCCAGGCCTGCCCGAATAAAAAACCTGGGGGCCTGGAGGGCTCATGCATGCTGCCCACTCCAGTCACACCAGCCTCTCCGTCTCACTCCCTGTTTCCCGGTGCAAAAAAGGGGGGAGATCTACCTAATGCAGCATGAAAGCTGGCCATGTTTGGGGCCATTGTGAATCAAACCCTCCCACTGGCTGCGAGGGGAAATTAAACTGCCCCACCAGCCTCTTTAGGGGTTTAGAAAAATGACTTTGAAGTCTCCCTGCTGCCTTCCTGGCCCGCCCTGCCGATCCCCGAGGGAGACACGAGCCGAGACCAGAGCTGCGCCGGGCAGGGGGCCGTATGCGCACCCTACTCCAGAGGCTGGACACACCGGGATACAGGCCCAGAGACCTGCCCCAGGCCACAGAGCAGGGCCACGTGGAGACGGGCCAAATGCTTCATCTCACGTGATCCCCGCTGCTGCTGACGGGCGAGACGAGGCATCAGGAGGACTGCGGGTGCTTGGGGCATCGTGACCGCGTGGCAGGTGAGCAGAGATGGGGGACGACACCGCCTCAGGCATGCAAAAGCAAACAGGCCAGCGCTGGGTGGGAACGGGGACGCTCCCCAGCCAAAAGCATCCGATGTACGGAGGAGTTTGGGCTGCCTCCGTTCCCGCGTGCCTCGCCTCTGAAACCCAGACCCCTTCGCGGCGCTGCGGCAGACAGCTCCCGCGCCTGCCCACCCCGGGCCGTACTCACCGTCCACGCAGGAGGGGGCTGCGCGGGTCGTCCCCGCCACCTGCCCGGGGAAGCAGGAGCATTTCACCGTCTGGGAGCGCTCCTCGATCTTGTTCTTATTGCAGCAGCGGTGGGCGGCGATGACTTCGCACGTGCCAGGCTCCACGCGCACTGCCGGGAGGGAAGCGAGCACACGTCAGGCAGGCGGGACCCGGCCCACGTCCGGCTTCCCTGCTCCTCTCCCCGCACCATCAAAACACCGAGAAACAGAGAACACTAAAGTGCTGGTTTATGACCTCCGGGGCCCCGCGTCGCTCCGCGATTTCCGCCAGGAACGGCCCTTTTTGTGACCTAGTTCTTGTGTGGGGAGAGAGTCGAGAACAAATCCCTGTGGACTTTCTCTTCACCATTTAGACAGACAGACAGAGGCAGCATCCGTGTCTGGACTGTGGCTCTGTTGCTGCCGTTCGCACCCCGCGCTCTCCCTCCAGCCACCGCCACATCCTTGGTCCCGATTCTTTCATCGGGTGGATGGAGGAGCCGAGGCAGCCAGCCATGGCCCTGCGTGCAGGTAGCCAGCGTCTCGCTGGTTTTGTGCCTGGCTGAGAAGCTGAATCCCGCAGTTCCCCCCAGCATAAACCGTGCCGCTCTGTGCCCGCTACGGCTGCAGGGCCTCAGTCGAGTCAGGCAGCCAGCAGCAGTGGCCTCAGGATCCAGGACACCATAATGCACATGGCACGGCACATCCTGCAGAGCCCGAGACCCCAGGGGTTAACTCGATACGCCAGTGTGCCCAGTGCTGTCGGGCGTGCAGTCGGTACAGGTTTTGCAATTACCACTGGTTCTATTTGGTTTTATTTATTGTTATTTCATGGTCATTTTCTGCTAATGAACCGCTGCTTTCATTCCTGCCCATAATAATTACACAATTACCTATCCTGGAAGTATTTCGTAATAACATCTCTGGCCATAAATTTTACTCTCCCTTTTAAATGCCATCATAATTCAGTTTTAATGAAGGTTTGATTCAAAACGAAACGATGGACTTTGGTGAAGGCGAAGAGGAAAGCAGCTCGTAACTGAGTGAACACAGCTGGGTTTGTAAATGGGATTTCCAAATAAGCCAAGGAGTGATTGAGGATCCTCGGCTCTAATTGTGAGTGTTCATGCAGATGGCGAAGGCCCCTGCTGTGCTGGCTCTCCCCGGAGCAAGGGTGTCATTGCCGGGTCTCCCTCCCCTCCGCTCCCCTGGCCAGACCGCCTGGCGAGAGCTGCTGGTCCCCTCTGCGTCCTGCTCCCCGCCCAGCCTGGCCTTGCCGTCCCTAGCAGGGGGGTTTGGCCAGCTCAGCCCATGACTCCAGGACCGGCTCCTGCCTGCTGCTCTGAAATGCTCCCCTTCGCTGTCCCCAAGCAGCCTCGAGCTGGCGATTTCCCCGTCTTGGGATGTAACCGCCTGGGAAATGCGCTTGCAGCTGGGCACGAGTCCCCAGCACAGGCCCAGGCTCGTTAGCTCTCCTGAAGGACTTACTCCCGATGAAGCCTCAGGCTGCGTTCAAAGGGCCGGGAGCCTTTCTCTCACGTGCACACGGCAGCCCCACAGCCCCGGGGGCTGGCGCCGATGGCTGCCATCGTAGCAGGAATTGCTGCTCCCCTCAGAGGAAATCACAGGCCCCCTTCCCTGGGCATCACTACAGGCTGTGTCTGCTGGGCAGCCATGGCAGGGACCGGGAGCTGGCGCCCCGGCTGTCTGGGAGCCGGGGAAGAGGATGGCGAAGGCAGCAGGACACCGTCCTGACCCTCCCGCTGCGGGCGAGGGGAGAACGGGGCTGGGGGCAGGGACGCGGCGCTAAGAGCTGTCTTCTCTTCCCCATTCAGGCCCCCACCTGCTGTGGGCTAAATGCCCCCTTTGCCGCGTCCTGATCTCACACGGGCGCCGGCAAGGAGCCAGCACCAGCGCCCGAGGGCCTGTTCCCTTCCACCCTGCCAGCTGCACAAGGGACCTGGGCACCGGGGCGCAGTTCTGCTCCCCTGCCCAAGTGCCTGGCAAGCAGCTGCTGCGGAGGCAGGGGAGCGCTCTCCCTCCACGGTGCCGCCATTGCAGGCATCGGGTCAGCCGCACACCAGCTCTGGGGTGTGAAGAAGCGCCAGACACCTCCACGGTCGCGGTCACAGCTGCGAGCACTCGGGGAAGGTGCTGCCCTCCCGGCGCCAGCTCTGGGACAGCAGAGAGGGGATGCACACAGGCAGGCCTGTCTCTTGCTGCGGGCTGGCTCGTGCTGGCAGCAAGGGCTGGGATCTCGGCAGCAAACCCGTAATGCGGGGGGGACAACGGCTTCCCACAACGGAGTTTGCCGAACTGCGCCCAGACTCACTGTGGACCCACGGCAGCCAGAACCTGGGCTCTGCCACCGCCCTGCTATGCGACCCTGGGCCTGTCACTGCCTCCCCTGCCCCTTGTGTGTCCACTCGGCTCCAGCCCTCCCAGGACAGGTCAGTGCGTGCCATGAGCCATCTGCATTCGGGGCCCTGCATGGTACAACTCTACTACTAGTATGCGCTAAATAATTAAGATGCTCAACTCACTACTGCCTGTTATGCATGCATTATTGAGGAGGCTTTCGGAGAGAGGCAGACCTGTTTTTATTGCTCATTACCACTGCCCCACTGGTGGGACTTCCGCTGCATCATGACACGGAGGCTGCAGAGCAGCTCTGCTACACGCCACGCACACGCCAAGACGTGTCCTGACAGGTGATGAGAGGCAGCGCAGGGCATAATGTCAGCAACAGCAGGGCCTGGGCCCAGCGACCCCAGCTGTGGCTGTGGTCCTAAATGAATGCCCGAGGCCTGAAGCCGGGGTTTTCTTAGCAGCTTCAGGTGGGAAGGGCCCTCCCAAGAAGGCAGGGAGCAGGGGCAGGAAACCTGGACACGCAGCCCATCTCAAGGAGAAACGGGGGATGTGCAGCTCCACACCAGAGAGATCCTTCCAGTGCCGGGAAAGCTGGGGAGGGCAGAGCAAAGCGACCGTGCTGTACAAACGCAAGTCGGGCCCGGCTCTGACCCCATCCCTGCGTTACCAGCCGGCGTCGTGCCTGAGCAACCACCATGAGATCTGGCCTATCCTGGGATTGTTTTATGCAGGTAAAACTTGCTTATGCGCACACCCACGTGCATGCATGTGCACAAGACAGAGGAGCGTGCCGATATATCCCGTTGCACGTGTGCTTGTGCAGTGCAGGGAAACACAGGCCGATTTCACGTCCCAAAAATCCCACTGGCAGCTGCTCCAGTGCCATCGCGTGAGCTGCGGCCGTTTCCGTTCTGGGCCTGCCTGTTCAGGCTCCACGTGGCAACCGTGGGAGCGGTGGGTGCCTGCCGCTTTGGAAATCAGGCCACCTATTTAGATGCCTAATTATAGGCACCCAAGTGTGAACGTGTGTCACTCTGTCTCTGCTCACGCGTTGCTCTGGAAGGAGCAAAGATCTCCCAAGAGCATCTCCGGCAGTCATCCTGGTGACCCCGGCTCCGACGCCCGGCACTGAAGGCACGGCACGATTTCCACCTTGTCAGTTCGCATCGGTGCGGAGCGAGGGTCTGATAGCTGCGATCAGCCTGCCCTCCTCCACGCGGGCGCTCGCTCGTGGGGGCCGGGCGGCGATAACAGCCCGAGCATCACTTGGCAATCAAGCCCTCCTCGGAGCTGTCGAGCCAGGCACCACCTGCCTCGTGTGCGTCTCCCAGCAAGCTCCAGCCAGCCCGGAGACTGTCTGATGTGAGTGTTTCCCCAGGCAGGAGCGGTTTCAGTCCCCGGCTTCCCTCGGGGCAATCCCGCGACAGATCACATCTGGGAGGTGACTCGGGTAGACCCCGGACGCCCCGAGCTGTGGCCAAACGCAGCTCCAGAGATGAGGACGCAGGTTTATCTTCACGTTAGCCCGTCACTGGTTAGAAAGGGGGTAAAGCAGGTAACTGCTGACTGGCTTGTTGGCAGAGTCTCTGGACGATGCGTTTTGGGTTTAAGCAATGCAGGCAGGGATTACAGGCTTAGAGCTGCTTTCGCTGGCAGGGA